GTATTAATAGATCTAAGATGATATAGATATTGTATTAATAGATGTAAGATGATATAGATATTGTATTAATAGATGTAAGATGATATAGATATTGTATTAATAGATGTAAGATGATATAGATATTGTATTAATAGATGAACTATATTATAGATGTATTAATGTTTTATTAAATGTGTTTTGTTTGAACATGAATTGTGATTTTGCAAACTTAAAGAACCCACAAAAATTGGTGTCGGAATCAGGATCAAAATACAAGCAACAAATAGAGAAATATGAAGCAACATTGTATGAAAGAAGGAATACTCTCTGTTGATAGTGGAAATCGATATGCATCAACTGCTCGAAGTTTTTAAACTGACACCCTTCTTTTTGCTACTGTTGTTGAAGATCATGAGGTAAAACAAAATATTAGTAAGTCAGTCAGTTCAATTTCCAATTTTCAAGTTTTCAAATGTGTATATAAATTTTAATGATATTGAAAGTCTGATTTCTAAATTTGATGGTAATGCTTATAATTCGGTTGGCAATTTCATTGAAAACTTTGAAGATGTATCTAATTTGTTAAAACTAAATGAATTACAGAAACTAATATTCGCCAAAAGATCTTTAACTGGCAAAGCAAAATTATTCATTGAAAGTGAAAGGAAAATTAATTCGTGGAATGCACTTAAGGCTTTATTAGTAAATGAATATGGTGTTCAGTATAACTCTGCTCAGTTACATGAATTATTATCAAAACGTAAAATGCAGGAAAAAGAATCTCTATGTGAATATTTTTTGGTAATTAAAAATATGTGTTCTAAAGGTAATACTGAAAACGCTGCTTTATTTGAATATGTTATTAAAGGTATAAACGATTCTGCATTTAATAAAGCTATTCTTTATGGTTGTAGAACTTTGTCAGAATTTCAAGGAAAACTTAAGATATATGAAAAAATTAAATTTGATAATGATAAAAACAAATCCGTTAGGCCTAATTCTAAAACCAAAGGCGCGTCCATATTGAAAGTAAAATAAAAACAAATATTTCGTTACTATAACTACGGAAATCTTGGTCACGCGGAGAATTTTTGCAAAAATAAGAGCAAGGTGAAAAAAATGCTTTCATTGTAATTTATTTGGACACATAGCTTCGCAGAATGTACAAAACATAAGACGAATATAAAAGATCTTGCCAGAATGAATCATATATTTGTAAGAGAAGCGGTTGAATGATATGCATAAAACTGTATCGATAGATAATGTAGAAGTAAACGCTCTGATTGATACAGGAAGTGATATAAATTTAATATCGGAAAATATTTATAAAGTAATTGGTTCACCTAATATTCATTCTTCCAGTTTGTTTCTAGTAGGCTTTGGTAATAATAAAGTAATATTTCAAAGGTTCCATACGAATTGATGATTGCGAAATTAAATCAAATATTTATGTTGTGCCTCAAGGAAAAATGAAAGAAAATGCTGTTATTGGAAATGAATTGCTTTCGCAAATGGAAATTATTATAAAAAAGAGCGGCATATCTATAAAAATATTAGAAGATGAAACTGAATTGAATTTAACGTATGTAAATATTGATCAAGAAAATGAGTTAGATAATTGTTCGGATATTAATAAAGCATGTAAGTCCAAAGTAAAACACTTAAATGAAAGTTATATTCCCAATAAAACTGAAAACCCTATAGAAGAAACAGATGCTGTTGAAAATGAATTAAAGAAAGAGGTGTCTCAGGAAGAGAAAAGTGATGTTAAACGTGGACAAGGAAAATTGCAAAATGTAGATGAAGAGAAGAACTCCATTCCCAAAGGAAGAAGAAACAACCCACCTAAGAATGTTCAGCAAATCAAAAAGAGTAATGAAAGAATTAATGAATCCAAAAAACTCACTTCAGAACCAAAGAGTTCTAGAAAAAGAAATAATTCAGAGATATGAGAAATCTAGTTCAATATAATACTGGTGAAACAGAAATATCAATAGTAAAGAAAGAAGTAAACAGCAAGATAAACTTCCAGCCGAAGAACTGGATCCTGGTATATCTGAAAATTTTAAAGGAAGACAAGCTAGCCAAAGGAAAATCTACCTAATATTGAAATGCTTAGTTACTTTAAAAGATGACCAAGCCATTCCTTTGAGGCCCAGACGTTTACCAGTTATACGTAAAGAACAATTGAAACAAGAACAATCTATTTTACAAATGGGTTTGGATGCTTCTGAACAACAAGTTAGATCAAAATCGTAAAAACAACCTTGTATTTAGCGTAGGTATAATGAAACACTCAATCGATTTCGAGGGCAGCTAAAGGTCCCTCCTCATAAGGAGAAAGAAATACTTAGAAAGAAGAAAATCTTTATTTTCTCAGTTCACAGAGTCACAGAAACACGTGGTCCTTATCAGCACTGCACATGGTTATAACTAGATTTTTAATCAGAGTTTCACTGGCCGCCTACTTTTACCGAGCCAGGCTATCTGATCAAAAGGAGGGACCTTTAGCTGCCCTCGAAATTGATTGAGTGTTTCATTACACCTACGCTAAATACAAGGTTGTTTTTACGATTTTGATTGTCACATTAGCGTGTTTCTCTTCTAGTCTAACAAGTTAGATCTTTGGAAAGAAAACTTTCTGTATTAGAACAGAGTATAGAACCGTTACTGAAACAACTATCAGAAGCCAAAAAGGAAGTAGAAACTACAAAATTTCAGATGAGCATCAAAGATAAAATCCTCTCTGAGAAAGAAAAAGAAGTTCAACATATTAAACTGAAAATGCAAGAAAAGCTACCTTTGGAAATGAATCGCATGAGAAGAATTAAGGAGAAGATTTATTTGCTAAAAGAAGAGAACTTGGAAAAAGACGCGAAGAAAAAATATTTAAGTAGAAGAACGAAATAAGAAAACATATAACACATATACTGTCGAAGACATTCTCCAAAATGTTATGAAATTAAAGATTTAGTAGCAATCAAAACAGCGCAATTTGGATCAAACGTTAAGTAAAATCAAAGTATTTAGGCCCGTATAAGATTATCAAAATAAAGATAATGACTCCTATGATGTTGTAAAAGAAGGAGATTTATGAACCCACTAAAACAAGGCATGCACTGAAAATAAAACCATGGACTAAGTAGAAGAGCATAAATAATACTGATTATGACATTTAAACCTGGCGTGACAGAATGATAATCGAACTGTGATTTTCACCTAATAATGACTTATTTCAGTTAATGCTATTTTTAAGATGAAATGAAGTTTACCAAAAATGTTAAAGATGAAGATATTTTCGATTTAGATGAAATTTCTGAAAGTAGAAGGGATGTTGACGATATTATAGTTGCAAAGATGAAGGACAATTAAGATGTTTCCTTTCAATATTGTCCTTAGCACATACACAATCTTCCCCTCTCCCTTTGTATTTCTTTTCAGGTTTCGGCTTTTTTGATGACATTCTTTACTGAAGACAACGAAGATGCAAGATGACCAAGATTTAGTTGTCAGGAGTAGAATAATTGTCGTCGAGGGCGACGATAGCAGGAAGGCCGAATGTGGATTTTAACCATAGCTAATATTTTCCTCGCGCGCTGTCTAAATTTCAGCTGTTGACTGCCGAGTGAAATTGATAGAACTCTCGCCACTTTGTTTTATGAGAGGAGATGTAAGATGATATAAATGTATTAATAGATCTAAGATGATATAGATATTGTATTAATAGATGTAAGATGATATAGATATTGTATTAATAATTAAATGTGCTTTGTTTGAACATGAATTGTGATTTTGAAACTAAAGAACCCACACTTATGTCTGGGTCTTTCCGAAAGGTTGGATTATCCGAAAAGCTCCTAAGACATTACTTTGGATGACATCGAACAACATGGCAACTATCTGAAGTGACGCATGAAGTAGAAAGTATGGAACAAAATAGAAGACGATGACATCACTCACGTATTGAAATTGAAACCCTAGCTTGATCCGAAAGGACAATTAGACAATGTAAAAACGCCAGTGTTTCCAGAAAACCTGTTACAAGAAGACAAGCTAAATCGTAGCGGGGCTCTGCTTTTTTCCAAGAAAGGGTAAATGTAGCAAAAACTGTTCCTTTCGACAGAGCACAAAACAGAAGGTCTCGAGACTAGAAGAGAAACACGCTAATGTGACAATCAAAATCGTAAAAAACAACCTTATATTTAGCGTAGGTATAATGAAACAATCGATTTCGAGGGCAGCTAAAGGTCCCTCCTCATCAGGAGAAAGAAATACATAGAAAGAAGAAAATAGGAGAATTTTACGATTTATTTTTTTACGATTTTGATTTAGAAGGTCTCGAGTTCGAAACCCATCAAAGGCAAATCATCTAAAAATTGATTTTTGCTTAAATTTCCTCCTGCTAGATTATTTATTTATGTTCCATTTATTGGACTCTATTTTTTAGAACCTTTCAAGTTTAGAATGTTCTAGCTCGTTCATCGAGTGCATATGAGTGGTTACTTACTCATTTCGAAAATAAAATTTTGAGGTGAGACTAGAGTACTTTCTCTCCGTTTACGCGATAGTACTATAAAAATAACATAGAAGAATATCAAATATGGTATTCGTTTCAAAGTATTTATTGTAAATATGTTATAAAAACTGTATTTTCTTTCATTAAAAATCAATTAAATTATACGTTATTCAATTTCCTAATTAAATAAAATTAAAAAAATAAAGAGGGAAACATTTGATTGTGTTGATATAAATTTAGAAGAATCAGGTTTTACTGGCCCAATTGTACCTAATAATATATGATTTTGTTTACAAACGGTCTACCGGAAATAATAGCTTACTTAAATCTCACTGTTGTTTAAACCATGGAAGATTTTAACATCATTATTTAACTTTCCATTTCTAAATCTGCATATATATACCGTTAAACTGAATTATATTTAATTTTCTCTCCTATTTAACAGTCAGTAACGCATAAAAGAGAAAGATTATATTAAGTTTCTGAACATGTTTTTTAATTCCAGCCGTGAATCCATGCAGTTGCAATTTCTTTTGTCCTGAAAATGAAGAATTTGTGCATTGCATCAATCTTTGCAACAACTGCCTGGACAAAGGAAGATGCGTAACGGATGTGTGCGTCTCGGGATGCGACTGCGTCGAAGGATACTATAGGAATACAGATGGCCTCTGCGTGCCAGAGAGGCTCTGTGATATCACGAATGGTGAGTGAATATTAATATCTTATTCAAATGTGCAATAGTTGCAACCAGCGTATTTGTCATTGTGATAATATCTGCATTTATTATCTTGCAATAAAATATTTAAAAAAACTATTGTAGTGCGATGATTTAAGTGTTTATAAATTTCGGTGTCTGCTATTTTATTATTTATGATCAGTTTTTTCCCAACTAACTAGGACATTAACAATGCGTTAAGGATGCAACTTTTTTCTTTCTTCCAGCTATTTTTAATTTGTAGATATCTTTAATCTTTTATTGGGGGTACTAAGGCAACAGGAATCAGTAATATTCATAAATTTGCAGGACTAGTTTCGAAAGTTTAAATATAGAACCGTCTTCTTCAGCTGTAGAAACGCAAAAGACGATAGAGAAACCTGTGCTCAGTCGATAATAATAAAGAGCAAGGAAATAAAGGCACTGGTGCCATTTATTGTAGAAAAAGGAAAATAATCATAAAATAATTCCCTTAAAAACTGACAGTAAGGACAGATTGAAATTCGGATCGCTAAACTGAAGTAATTTTATGAATGTGAAGCGCCTCTAGAAGATCTAGTTTGCCCACGAAAGATGCTTTTTGGGTAGCTTTTGCTGCAGAAAAATAGAAAAGAAATTTAGTAATCGTATATAATAATAATTGTAATTAAATTTTACTTTTAAAGTTACTATTAACATTATTTAGGACATATGATAATGCTAATCATTCTCTCTGTGTGATTCACCAATTCAATTTTGTACTATTTTGTGATATATTTTTATTTATTTTTACTTCCTTGTACGAAGTAAAGAAAGAATTGTAATGTCGGAAAATTTCAGATATTAGATTTCAACGAAAATATTCATTGTTACCCTTCCCGAATCCATTTTGACTACTTTTTTGAGTGACATACGAAAAGAATAAAGAATTGAACAGAATAACCTTTATTCCAAAATGGATTCCCAAAATTTTTGGTTAGTAATTTCTCTTATAATTTTGGTGAGTGACTAGTTTGGCTATTGAGAAAAAAAAAATTTTTCTTATTGATGTTTCTTCTTCGGAACACGAGTAAATCCTAAAGCTTGAGGTATTTTTACTGAAGTGTTTCAAGTAACGAAAATTTTCATAACGATAGCGAAAACCTACGTAGTTTGATTTACTCATTGAATGGGCCATAGGTCATATATTATTCGATCAATTTTGAATGCATTGTTTTGAAACCCTTGTACGTGTTTAAATTTAAAAACAAAGGTAATCAATTATTAACATTTTATTATAATTACTTACATCTAAACGGAAGAAATTTCTTTGCAAATGGGAATCTAAAAATATAAATCTGCTATTCTGTAGTGTAAATTCAAAAAAAATTTCATGTTTATAATTAAAATATTAAATTTATTATACATTTAAATGTTTATACTTTTATGCAGTAAATTCCTGCCCAGAAAACGAAATCTTCCTAGAGTGTGGTTTAGCTTGCCCTCTTAATTGTTCAAGCAGAAATAAACCACGAACATGCACTTATCAGTGCATCAGGGGATGTTTCTGCCGACCTGGTTTCCTCAGGAATGACTACGGCATTTGCGTACCTGAAAAAGAGTGCCCGCCAGGTAATTTAACCAACTTCTCTATCAGACTTTCCTTACTTTGTCTTAAAAAAGTGATTATTAAATAATGTTTATTATTTTTAAGTTTGTTTAAATGCAGTTCAAATAAACGCCAGGAAGTTATAGAACCCTCAATTACTATCCATCTCGAGTAGAATTTTAAAAAATGCTAGTTATATCTGTATATATTTGCAGGAGGATTTGATCACCGTGTATTTTTCTCTTTCAAGCTTAAGCTTATAAGGTATTTCTCCCGCCTTCCTAGCATGCCTTCGTGGTGTGGTGGTCTGCACGCTGGGCGCGTATTCCAGAGGTCCGTGGTTCAATTCTCGGCGAAGGCGTTGCTCATTTTCATCCTGCCTGCTTCCAAAAATACCTAATGTCTCTACAAGCTCATGATTCTTATATAAAGCAATTTTTTTATTATTTTTATCATCTAAAGCGGAATCATAATTCTGGTCACTTAAAGCGAAACCGGAAATGGCAGCTAAAGCATTACCTCCAAGTAAGGATTTTAGGTACGCCAATTTTTCAGTTTTTCTCAATCCACTATGATTACGAATTTTATTTTCGAACTGGTTCCAGAAGTCCAACCATTTACATGAATCTCCGTAATACGTTCCGATTTGCAGACTTGGTAACTTCACTGTTTTCGTTTCAACTGGAAGTGCAACATTAGCCGTTTTGTTTTGATGAACCGAAGATTCCGAATTCTTCTTCAAAAATCGTTGCATTATTCCTCTCCATATAACAGTTTTATCTTGGTATTCTTGACTTAAGGTAACTTCATTTTCAATCTCTCCGAAGTTACTTTCGTTTCTATTTCTGAATCTAAACTTTTCAGTTCATGATTTTCTCAATCAACTGTTCATACAAATCCTCGATTATCTCAATTTTCTCATTTAGCGGAATATTTGCTAAATTCGATTCGATTTGGTTATCAGTTTCGTAGTTAATGTCTAAACCGATCGTTTCTTTTTCAAATGTTCAAGAACGCCTTCCATTTTCGAAATATTCAGTCTGTCGATTTTCTGGTTCGTAATAATCCCGGTTTGCAGGCACCATAAACAAAATATGTGTAAATCTCTAATAAACAGACTGGATCGCAGTTAAAGTAATAAACAGAGGAGCGTTATTCCACACAACGTTTATTCACGAACACCAAAAACGAACTGATACATATACATAATTGACACCACAGTTTCTTTTGACAAACAAACACTAACGCCATCTATTGGCAATCTAAAGATATATAATCCTAAACTTAACAGCATCAAAGTCCGGGCATTGCTGTGGCTGAGTGGAATACAGCAGAAATGATGACACAGAAGGATTTAGCTTTTAATTGCACATCTTTATTCCATTTGAACGGCAGATTATTTTTCTTTTAAATTCTCCAAATTAGATATCAAATAGTGTTTTAAACTGAAAACAATAAAATCTAGGCTTTTGACGTCATAACTATTCTAACAAGGGAAAATGAGAAGCGCAGCAGCATAGATCTTACTAGCAGAGGGAGAGAGGAGCTTGAAGATCCTAAATTGCAGAAAGTTAATTAAAGGAATAGAGAAAAGCAGTCCTATTTTTTATATTTTACATCTTTATGTATATACATACATCTCCTTGTGTTCCACAAAGCATACCACGAGGCTTACATAGGTAATTTATAGCACTAACAAAATAAACAACCGCGCAATAGCACTGCGATTAGGGGAAAAAACTATTAAAAAACAATAACAATTAAAAGAAAAATAAAATAACAATTAAAAGTAAACAATTAAAATAATAAAATAATAACAATTAAAAGAAAAATAAAATAAAGAAAGTAATAAAAAAAGAGAACTCAAAAATCTAAATTGAGAATGAAATTTCGGAAAGCAGAAATTGTCTCTTTAGTCCGAAGAAGTTCAGAAACAATTAGTGGCCAAGATACAGACAGGCGCTCTAAAGTTACCTGAAGTATCTTTCCTCTGCTGTCATAATGAATGCAATCAAGAAGATTATGCTGAACTTCATCCCCGCTACCGCAGCTGCACAAAGCACTTGAAAAAAGTCAAATCACTTTTTTTTTTACTTTCTTAAGATTATTATGTCCAGTCAAAAATTGAGTTACTTTGAAATCTGTTGGAAAATGCCGACTTGTATTCTGTAAAAAATTGTAGAAGAATAACTTTTGGTCCATTGTGCTTTTGGTGAGGCCAGATATTCTCTGTTCCAAATACAGACAGCATCATTACTATAAAATCGCTTCCAATGAGAAATAGGAACACGGAAATTTAAATTAGTGTGACTTCTAGTGGCTAGCTTTTCTAGAGCATCGATTCTCTAATTCCCAAAGTTTCCACAGTGTCCACGAACGTAAGCAAAATGAATGTCCATATCAAAGTCTTAATAATAACCTGAGACTCAACAGCAAGTTTCTCTGAAATACTAAATTTCTCTAATAATTATAGCGAAGGAAAAAAATCACTATGTATTAAAATACACATTGAATTGAAAGCATAGCAAGAATTTAAAATTCATTTCACAGCAAGGTTTAAGCATAGCAACTTAACCTGAAACGCAGAGCATTTATTATTAATTCTATGATAGGTATTGTTCAGCTGGTCTTGTTTATCTTCATAAGCAACAAAAGCAAGGCTTACCTTATCATTCATCTTTCTTCAGTCTGTAAAAGAAATTAATTTTTATTCTTCAAGAACAGCATCTTAATAGCCAACAACTGGTATACGATTCCTATTAAAAGGATATGGCAAAGAAGTAACTGGAAGACTGTTATCAAGAAAATTTCATGAGGATTGCCTGCAAAAAGCTTGCACTTTACATTTTTCGGTAAAGAACAGCCCCAAACTCTTGACGCATAGGCAATAAACGGCACTATTCCTTGCCTATAGATCAATTTAAGAACATCTGTTTTGAGTCTATAAATGTTTTTAGAAATTTTAAATAATCCTGAGAATACTTTTTCGCATTTTACTGAGAGACAGGAAATATGATACTTCCACTGAAATTTGTATCCAAGATAACTCCTAAATATTTTATTTGAGTAACTTCTTCTATAGTCCTTAAGTGATATACTTATTCTGCAGTCAGTTTTTATCTTTTTATGTACCATCATAACTTTTTTAAGCGGTTTGAATTTAAATTTACAAAGTTTAGACCACTGAAAAGCAGTATCTAGTTAATCTTGAGACAAAGAAAATCATCAACAAAACTTTAACATTGAGCAGTTAAAGAATATTTGAATAAGAAACTCAACGATTTCAAAGAGAGCAATGGCAATACTATACGGGAAAAAAATTATCTTCAGCTCGCGATACTGTGTATCAGAAATTCTAAAGATATGCTCATTTTAAAATTATTTTGCGATATTCCTGTTTAATTGAATTTTATGGGCGTAGTATAAAATATGAAAGCCTTCAGATTTTTTATTAGTTTTCATATTTTGTAAAACTTACAAATTTTATTATTATTATTATTATTATTATTATTATTATTTTATCCCACAATTGTGGGAATAATTAAACATTGGACTAATCTTCTGACAATAAGCTACTATATTCTACATTTTTAAAAGGATGATTTTTGAGATTGCCAACGACGTATTTAGATGTAGAATAAAAGGGAAGACATCACCAAGATAAATGAAAGTATTCAAGACTTGCTAAAGTCTAAATTGGAACAATATATATATAATTACTGTGCTATAATGTAATTTCAGAAAAGTGCGGAAAGGACGAAGAATTTTTAAATTGCGGATCTCCGTGTCCACCATCTTGCGAGAACAAGAACAAGTCATTCGTCTGCCCAACTGTGTGTGTAAGTGGATGTTACTGCAAGAAAGGCTTGTTTCGAAATGCTGATGGGAAATGCGTGACGGCGGAGCAATGTTCTAAATCAGAGAAACCACCGACGCTTATCCAAGTAGCAGGTAATCCGTAGTAAATAAGTAATGTGTCTTATTTATTTTCTTGACTATGCTCTTTCCTGTCGTCTACCTCTCTCTTGTATGAAATATAATATGTTAATTACGTATGCAAATTTTATACTTTTCATTAACGTTAATTAATTAATTTTTAACAGCTCTTAGAGACTTCAGCTAAAGTTTCTGAATTATTCAAAAGATGCAAAATAAGATTGGAGCAGATTTTAAGAATTTTTGCTTCTGAAAAAGAGGGTTTTTATATCAAATTTCCCTCGAAAACGATAAAGTTTTGTTTGAAAACAATGTTAATCTAAGGTAATATTTTTACGAATTTTAAATTTTACACAAATATATATCTTTTCCAATTAAAATCAATAAAGTTCCGAGTAATCTTTTCTAATCCGACTTTTTGACTTAGCAAGGCTTTCAATAGACAGAGCCTAAAAATTCCACTTATATATATTACATATGCATAAACTATATAAACTTTGTTAATATCGTGTTAGTTATATATATATGCCATCAAACTATTTATATTATTATGAAAACGTTTCTATGACTGTCTGCTTGAGGGAAGGAATACCTTAACAGAAAGCATTCTAAAAGAGACTAGATTTATTTTATTTATAACAGCAAAGCGCGTTAGGATTATATGACCAAGGGAATAACTGCTTCGTGAAGGACTTCTTGAGGGATACTAGCTCGCATTCGCATTGCACATAAATAAATCTACGAAAACGGCCATGCAGACCGCCCGTTCGCCAGAATACCAATTTGGGTCGAATAACTTCAATGGTCTTATCCACTCGGCCACCGGTGAGCATTAGTGTGCAAGGTAATAAATAATACCCTGCACTTAAGCAGCAGCCAGATTTAGGAATTAATGATAGGTCAAAACCGCAAAAGCAGGGAAGCTAAGCGCTACTTATAACAGGGGTAAATAACATGCACGTTACGCAGTGGTTTCTAAATTTTTTATCAGAATTTTCACTAAGAATGATTTTTAGGTGCTACTTTGGTAGACGGTTGCACGAATTTTTGGCGATTTTTTTTCGCGAGCGATACGACTTCTGGTAAACCCATTACTGGACAAGTTATTTATTTACGGTAACCGATACTTTGTTGTCATTTTATTAAAAAAATAATGCATTTTATTATGCATAAATTCCGTGTTTTAAATATTATTTATGGCTTCTACATATTAAAAACCAATTTAATTTTGCATTTTTATATGAAATAAAATTTTTATTGCTTATGATATTTTATATAATATTATGTTGTGGATGATGTAATCAATGACGTCACCTTACTTTAAAAGTAATTGGTTTTAATATCTATAAATTTAATCTAATTTTTTAAACATTATTTTTGGCTGTTAAATATTAAAATACAATTTAATTTTGCATTTTTTAAAAAATGATTTTATTATGTATGATTATTTAAATAATTTTAATTCTATGCGTGATGTAATCAGCTCCCTAATTGGTTACTGAATACCGCTCCATTTTAAAATTTTATTATTCATCTCTTCAAATTCCTTAGATTTCAAAGCGAATGGATATGTCCGTTTCGAAAATGAATGTTGTTATTGGTAATTACCAAGAATTATTGGTATCGGAATCAAAAAATTGTCTTTTGAGACCTTATTTTGGTCAACCTGGCTTTCCTAATCAAAGATTTATTTATAAATTTTTACAAGGGTCAGAGGAAATTTATTTAAAATTTTTGGAGGAAACCTCGCTGCTTCTTCGATGAAATGCGAGAGATGTGGATCACAGATGAAGATCGTTAAAGAGCCGATTCTGAGGACGGCCGTATATGGTATTGTGGTCACGGTGGAAGAAATAATCGCTGTAACGGTAAAAAAGTATTAGACATTCCTCCTTTTTTACCGGCAATAAACTAATTGCTGTCATTTTAGCTCTAGTGTACGAAGCGTTCTTATTTACTTATTTTAAAGCATTTGAATTTAAGTAATATTTTAATTCTTTTAATCGTTGGTATGACGGTTTTTAATTCGATATTCAGTTTAAGTAATGTTTTAATCCAATTAAACATCGACGCAATGTTTTTATAGCTGTGTTTTTATTCTATTTACCTTACTTTAGTATTTTATACTCTAGTAAATGTATATATTTACATTTACCAGCCACCTTAAAAAACAACTTTTCAGCAAAAAATTAATCCATTATTTTTAACGATATTTATTTTTTTAAAGTTTCGAATACTTTACTATGCGCAAAATGCGTAAAAACATCGTTTTTCAAGATGCTGACGATTGTAAAAACCGCGCCAAAGTAAATCGCCAAAAATCCGAGTAACCGTCCACTAAAGTAGCACCATTTTGTCTGTGTATTAAGCTTTAAAGTGTTATTTTATTTTCTTTAATAATCGCAATATTTTTTAATAAATCAACAGAATTGTCCGAAACCATACGATGGGCTATGTTGTAACATGTTAAACATGCCCAGAGATTTTGATTCATGTAACTAGACCTTCTTTAAATGTTAAGATGCAAATGACTTTTTTCTATTTAGTTTTCTTTCTCGACATATAGAAACCGATTTTTCTCCCTCAAGAATTAGATCTGACCTTACAATCTGTCCTCTCGGAAGCAGTCTAACAGAGGCCGACGCAAAAGGACAAATGTCATCCTAACTGACACACCCTATAAAGAAGCTTTGGAAAAATAATGTGAACAGATACTTAGTAAGAAGATAAAGGGTATGGAAAGGTTAAAGAAAAAAAAATCCCAAAAGGAAAGGGACAAATAAAATGGGCGAAGAAGAGGCTTTTGAACTCAAATGCAGATTCTGAAATAGAAAAGTGGCTTTGCTTGACTGCGAATATGCGTAAAACAACTCTTTTGTAGTAGAATAGTTGCAATGATTAATTTGCAAAATGTGGGCACTCGCGTGAGCAAAATGTGGACACACACAATTTGCAAAATGTGGGCAAAATGCGTGAGAAGAAACAAGCATTTGTTTGTGTTAACTGAAATTTCAATGAAGACCGACTTTTATGTTGATTGGTCAATTAATTTTATCTTTGTTTTATTATAAACCTATTGATATCATTCAGTGTTAGTATATCAAGTAATAATATTTACTAAATGTTTTTTTTAAATATTCTCAGGTCTTTACTACTATTTACCCCGAACATGGAGTAATTGTAAGAGAAGAATAGTTTTCGTTAAATATTTCTTGGGCTAAAATCAACATAATTGCAACATATCTGTTTTGTGAATATTATGAAATGATATTTATGCTATAAAAACAGCAGTTATAATGAATGATTCATAAATTAATTTTAAAATAAAAACATTTATCAAAAAATTATTACAACTAGCCCGTAGCTTCCCTTCAGGTAAGTATTTGTACACATAAATGAAAGGTTTATCTCATGAAAATGAAAGGCTATATTTTTCTAAATATCAAATTAAAATAAAATAAAACATCCAAAAAAAAAAAAAGACTGAATACAAATAACCTCGAATAAATTTCTAAGCCTAAACTAAATTCTAATTAAACGAAAGAAATAGGATTGAAAAGGTAAACACCGTTACGTGAAAATGTAAAAATATCATATTGTTTCGGCTTGCATACGGCTTACATACATTACGAAATACAACAAATTACAACTTCTTAATAAAATCAATTAATTAATTAAATATAATAGAATTTTACTTACATTTACTCCTTTATCACAATATTTTTTCACTGTGAAAGATAATAAAATTATGAACTTAAATTCATTTAGCTTTCTTTTCCAGCAAAATGCCGAAATGATGAAATTTTTGTACACTGCGGCTCGGCTTGCCCTCCGACTTGTGAAAACAAAGGTAAAACAGTCCCTTGTACGCAACAGTGCGTTCCTGGTTGTTTCTGTAAAAGAGGCCTCGTTAGGAGCATTGATGGCAAATGCATCCATCCAGGACAATGTCCAAACGAGGGAAATGAGCATCAGCTTATTCCATTGCAAGGTAATTCCATACTTCCATTGAATACCAAGAATTAATGTGCCATTTTAAAACTAGTATATAATGTAACCTCGGTTAAGCCTTTGAGTACTTTTTTTAGTACTCAAAGGCTTAACCGAGGTTACTTTTTTTAGGACTTTTTGTTTTATCTATTGTTGTGTCTCAAGATAAAAACATGGACTAGTAAGTTTAAGTTATGAGTACTTTTTTAGGACTTTTTGTTTTATCTATTGTTGTGTCTCAAGATAAAAACATGGACTAGTAAGCTACAATGAAAAACGAGAAATTATTAGATCATAAAAATGAGCTCAACATGAAAGAACTACAACAACTTCAGAAACAACAACGAAAGGCGATTGTGTAAGAAATACTTTTGGATGAAGAAGAAGACATTTAGAAAATGAATTTTAGTTCTCCGATCAGCCAAATTTGTGAAACATGCAGTGAGATGCAGATTTTTCACATAACGTTTAAACGGTAGCAAGCTACATTGTAACCATTTTCAATGTAAAAGGCATGCCTCATTTTAGAAACATTTTAAAACATAGACAACAACAAAAGATATTGAGCAAATTTTGAGTTAGGCTGTGAGTTTCAAGTAGAGTGAAGTGACACATAGAGACAAAGAAAAAATAAAATATGCCTTCTAAACACAGTTTAACTTATTATTTTGTATAAAGGAATTTCGTTTTCAAACAACAGCATCTTTCTCATCATTTTCCTTTTATGCCATCCACTTTCGTTTCTACGTATACGGTAAAATTATGTTCTTATCTATTTCATCTATTTTATATTGAGTTTATCTTCTTCGTTTTATATTTCATGGTTTCCATTGGTTTGAGTTTCGAATTTATTCTCAAATTACTATTGTAAACTTTAAATAAGAATTGTCTGTTGTCCAAAAATAAATTAATCCAATTTACATTAATTCTTTTATGGAAAAGTGTTTCATTTTACAAATATTTCGATTCCCGAATGGCTGTTACGAACGACTTTAATTCACGAGCTGAGGTTTCATTGTATATAAATGAAAAGCACAACATCGTACCTTGCTTAACATAATAATTTAATACATACACTTCTTTCTTTTTACTTTCATATTTTTGACTTATTATTCACGTACAGAGTGAGTCATAAATATGAGAGCATGTTTTATCGCATTGCACGATCATAGAATGGCTGTTAGGTAGTGCGATTTATAAATAATGCCACTGAAAATGCAAGTCTTCAAATTGAAGACATAATAAGCTGATTCACTTTATTGAGTCAAACAGTTCGCTATTCCGAATGCTTCCTATACTTAGCGATGTTATTTCTCCGGTACGATTGCAATTGCTTTCAGAAGATTTTATTTCCTAGATGTTTAACCTCGGAAGCTGTCGTTTTCTCCGTTTTCCGCTACTGAAAGTCAACTATGTTTAAGTTAAAATCTTGCTTCTCTTGCCTCATGGCTTCACAATCACTCTGAAAACGATCAGTTATTACCAAATCATTACCCAAGTCATTCTCGGAATTGATCAGTCATAGCATGGCCGACATAACAGTGAACTCAAACGCTCATGTAATACCTGTAAATGTAATTTATTGCTAAATAATCGAAGCGATCTTGGTTAATTATGGTATAAACTCTTGTATGAAACCCTTCTTTTAAATAAACACATTCAAAATTTAAGTTTTATATTTTACTCAATATTTCCTTTTTTATACATTTTTCTGCATTATATAACATCACACTATTTACTTCAAACGTACAACCATTTTTTTGATTCAGAGCACACATGATAATGGCTTTTGTTATATTTGTTACTGCATTTTTCTCATTAATTTTATTCTTTAGTAGGGGCCAATGGATCTGAAATTCTGAACACAAAATATAGTATGAAATATTAGAAACTGATAAGTACTTTCAGAAATTATATCTAGATGCCCTGAGCATTCGTATTTATACATTGAGAAAAAGAACAAAAGTTCAGCTGAAACCTAAAAACTGAAAAAAAAAAAAAAAAACTTTTTTCAATGACACCGAGAAACCAAAATAAAAAGAATAATAATAATATATATATATATATATATATATATATATATATGTGTGTGTGTGGAGAATAATTATAGCATTTATATTCATAAATAGACATTACCAATTTTATTTAATTTAGACATCATTTTATATTACATGGGTGACGAGGTGGGACAGCCTTTCAACATCCGTGGGGAGCTTCTGGGGTGTTTCTGAGGGCTTCTGTTGACGGGATTTTAATTGAAGCCTGCTGTATTCTTTCAAACATTTCTTCCTAAAGCGCAGCTCCGATATGTCGGATAGAGCTTCAAAATCTAGACTTTGGTTTTCTGGGAGAAAGGATATTCGCTACATCTGTTCTCAAAGAAGCGGCGAGATGACAGGCCTTATCTTGGGAATCCCATCTTTTGCTTCCGCTAATATTAAAAATTATATCTTAAACACTTTCCAGTAGGTCTTCCCATCATACCTGGATAACTTCAGAGAGAGACGAGCAGGCATGGATAAAAATTTAAAACCATCCACTGTTGCTCCCTGTCGTCGCTACGAACTTCTTCAATGTATCAACTTCTTTGGCGACCGCAGTAACCCCGTCATCAATTTATTGTTCCACTGCAGAAACTCTCTCTTCTATTAGTTCTTTCACAGAAGAAACTCTGTAATCGATTTGTTGTTCTACGGCAGATACTCTCTCTTCTATTTGTTCCTTGACAGAAGAAACTTTTTTCTCTTCAGTTTGGCCAACTTCATTTTCAACCATGTCCATTTTGTTTTCCATAGCCTCAAATTTGTTTTCTATTATGCAAGTAATTTCTCTTTTCATTTCTTATTGACCTGCTTCAATCTTTTCTTGACCAGCTTCCATCTTATCTTGAATCGCTTTCATCTCTACTTTAACATGTTCTTGGCCTTATTTCCTCTCTTCTTGATTAGCATCCATCTTCCTTTGACTGCCATCTTTCTTTAACGGAATCTTTCATCTCTTTTTTAAAAGTAGCAAAGGCTGACATCAACTGTCTCAACTGCTCCTCCATCGCTCTTGTTATTGGCATTTAATACCCCACTTCTGACACCAAAACGTGTTGCGTGCGAACGGGTTCGTAATGGATTGAATGCAAAAGTAGATAAAAAGTTAATAAAAATTTTTTTTATCCCAAGAAATAAAACAAAATGCTGAAAATTCTTCAGAGATATTCGTACAGTATCACAATATCTCACAGTAGTTATATTTTAAACTATTAAAACGTTAAAAGAACACAATACAAAGTAGTGAAAGCTAATCCTATCTCACCGCGAATTCGCTACAATCAATAACAAAAACTAAGTAAACAACTGAACTGGGAGGTTTTCTTCCGGTTTTATAAGCTTTTTAATCATGCACGAGAACATTCTGTATTTTCTCAATTTTTCTGGATAGCAAAAACGTACAATGGCAAGATATTTATTTATTAAATGTTAAATGCGCGTGCTCCGTATTTTTACTTTTTCGGCGTAGCTTTCTATTAAAATTTGTCGCGCGCAGCATTGCACGGAGAAATTAAACAATTTCAATTACAATTCAATTAGAAATAGCCAACTAAATACAAAATGTAACAATATGCTTTATAAGTAGACATTATCAATAGAGATAACCTAGGTGGAAGAGCGAAACATTTTGTTGTTGTTGTTGTTGCTTTTGTTCATTTGTCTGATATTCTTAAGATATTCTCCCTGATATATGTCTGATATTCTTAAGTACTGCATCTATTGAATTAAATATCTCAGTTCGGTAATCAGTAACAGACCTATTAAATTTGAAAAGTAAATATCTTGCTTTTTTTTTAATGGCAACAGACTGGAATACAAAATGAAACAACGCATATACAGTGAACGACGTTTAAAATGAATCAGCGCAAAATCATGTTCCATGACTTTTGGAGATAAAAATTAAATAAAATTTTAAAGAAAGCATTCCGAACATAATATAAACTCATTAAAATTAGAGGAATTAAGTTAATACATCCTAAAATGGAAGAAAAAACGCATGAAAGTTTGTAGGGTTTATATTTAACTAACATTTATTTTAAGTTTAAACTACCTTTCCTGTCAAGCCTTACTTTCCCCTGGAACTGCCAATGCCAGAGTATGTAAATTTTAGTAGAACGCGCAAGGATTCAAATTATCAGCGGAAGTATTCTGAGTTAAATAGAAAGGAAACGAGTTCGAGGTGTGCTGTTCTTACTTCACGAGCGCGGAGGTAGTTAGCCAGAAATTGAATAATCCCGCGTTTCGGCCTGTGTGCTTGCCTGGAAGTATTGTTAATCGTTCAACGTGATCTTCAAGTTTGCTGAATTAGCAGCAGTATTGTAAAACGCGGTGAGGTTAGTTACTTTTAGAGAGCCTCGTAGTTAGAGTCTTGTCTTTAGTTTCTTTTCAGGTTATTATTTTTATTTTACCGCCAAGTTGGCGTAGTTTGTGAGCGTCAAGAGCACGCACTTGTAATTTACTACGTTGAATAAAAAGGGACTTAAACCCTTAACAAGACTCTGTCTTTTATCCAGTTTCAACAGTCACCTCTTGGTTGCGTGCAAGTTGGAGGCGCGCAACGCTACATTGGCGCCCGAACACTTATCGAACTGAAATGGACGAAAATTGGATGGAAGCCGCTGGACAACACCAAGAAATGACATGCCAATTGGAAGGATTTGGATACCTGGTCCAGACTTTGAGAGCGTCAATCAAGCCAAACGTCCATTTCGACGGAAAAAATTCGCTGGCGGTATTTCTAGAAGGTATAGAAAACCACTTTCAGCTCTACCCTGTTCCTGAAAGACAAAAAGTTGCCATCGCCACATCCGCACTAAGAGGAAAGGCCGCGCTATGGTGGAAAAATATAGGCAAATTTTTATTAGGGGAATTTGGAAGCTAGACATATACATTTGAAAATTTCAAAAAATCGTTAGTAAAGGCCTTCCCCATAGTGAAAGATCGAGCAAGGCTGGAAGCC